ATGCACTACATCATAATCAGAAAAAAAATGTGTTCGACAAAAGCGCAAGGCTGAATAAACTGCAGCCATTAAATATCACATTTTGAAGATTATTTAATGTCATAAAGAAGTGTTAACCACAGAATATTAAGAAGGAATCAGGATTCAAAACTGTTTAGTTATATACAAAAGACTTGCGTGTGCTGCACGCACAGGTGTGCATAAAGCATTTTAAGGGGAAGACTAAGAAACCAAAAAATCTGCAGGTGTAGTTGGCTAATAGAAATAAGTTACCTTAATTCCTTCTTTTTCCGTAGTTTTAAATTTCTTACAGAAATAGAAAAATACACATTCTTTTCAAATACCTGCCACAATTACCAATAGCCATAAGCATCCCATACAGCTATTAGACCCCAGAGTCAATCTGCTCTGTGAAAACACCAAAACTCCACTAAAGTCATTTGTATAAAAGTCAGTAAACTAGTTATTGGTATCATTTGGGTAGGCAGCTACTAGTTTAGAAAGCAGATGAAATGCAAGAAGAAAACCAAATACCCAAAGAGGAAAACTCAGTTTTTCCCTATGAGGTGGGACTGATTTCCAGGTGGGCGCATTTCAGCTCTCCTGCCCACAGCAGGAGGGACACACAAGCAAACCCCTAAAGTGCCTCAGAATAAAACTCCTGGAACCACAGAGGTTCTAGATACTGGTATATTGGGATAACAATGTCAAGGCAGAGTAGCCCTTCTCAACCTCCCATCAGAATCACCTGGCTGCAGATTTAAACTTCACCCACTGACCCCACCCCTCCAGTTTCTAATTTTACAAAACTGGTCTGGAATGCGTGCCAGAAAAATATGCATTTCTAACAAGCTCCCAGGTGGTGCGGATGCAAAGGTGTGGGTGCCATACTTTGAGAACAGCTGCCCTAAAGTGGTCATAGCTGTTTCACATGCACCATCTCCAACAGCAAAAATTTTCAGAAACGCCAGCCTACAAGATGTGTTTGGAATAGCCGTCTCCATGCAGTAACAAGTGTTCTAACAGGAACAGCTCAGCACAGCGGCTGTGTACACAGGCTCAGGAGCCAGACAGCTGGGCTTGGTATCCTCAGCTCCACCACTTACTAGCTGTGTGATCGTAAACACTTCATTTCTCTCTGCCTCAGTGCCTACAGGTCTAAAACAAAGAGCTCCTGCCCATCTAGCAGGGAAGCCAGAAATGGGCGACTACTGAAGTCACGAATAAGAAATCCTCACCTTCCATGCCCATGCAAACACGTTTTGAAAATCCACAAACATAAAGTGCTTGGAGGGTTTCCTGCCCTGCCTTAAATTAAGGAGATGTTTGCCTACTTTATTATTATTTGCAGTAACCACACCCACATTCTGTCTCCTATGTCCCTGTTTCCTAAAGAGATAGGCCACCACATGGCCAAGAGATGTTCCTACACATAACTAGTAAACCACAATCAAAACAACTGCAGGAGCGCCCATCCCCTTGGGGTCCCCTCGGCTTTCCCACAAAAAAAAAGGAAACAACAGAATAAGGGGAAGATGACAGGGTTGGGGCTGAGAAACAAAAGACCTAATAACTAAGTGTGGTTAAAACCCAAAGGCTCAGGCCTACGTCATTGGTCCCACATTAGATGGAAAAGCTCTTTAGTTAGGAACTTCACCTCTGAGCCCTTTTTCTCCTACGTGTTTCCTTCCAGCTCAGGAACCACAGGGCTCCAGGGCAGGACCACTTGCATCAAGACCACAGATCACTTCTTAATGGCCAGTGAGCCTGCTAAGACCCAGCAGGCTTCAGGACCCCCATCCCCAGAGTGATCCTCCAAGATGGAAATGTAAATATAGGCTAAAGGGAAAGGGTTGGTCAAAGACACTCCGGTCGTGGCTATGCATGTCCCTGCCCAAAGCAAAACGTGTTCGAGAACAGTGTCCCATTCATTAAATAAAGTGTGTCTTTTACCGCCGTGAAATTACCCACAGCTAGGAACCGAGGTGAGACCCACGGGGAGAAGGAGGGAGAGAGACAAGGTTACGGACACGGTCACAGCGAGCCCGGAGGAGCTGGAACGCAGCTGCCACGTAAAATTGATGGCAGAAGAGGTGTGGTCACTATGGGGAGATGGCAACGGTCCAGAGCACTCATTAGGCTCTGGTTCACATAAAGGAAGCTGTTCCTAAGCCGCTTGCTTACAAAGAGAAGAAAAGGGTGTCGCTGTCCTTCAGGAGAACTGCGGACCCTGGGGCGGTCCGGAGGAGCCGGCGTGGGTTTGGTGGGCAGGGGAGACAGTCGGTTCTCCGGATGGGCCGCAGTAATTCTCCCTTGGCAGCCCGGTTCTCCGGTCCCCACCGCTCCTCCTCCTCCCGGGCGCAGGAGGCGCGCGGGGCCGCCATGCAGGCAGACCCTGCGCCCCCGCCACCGGGTCCCGGGTCCGCCTGCCCAGCCCTGCTCTCCGCGAGGGCGGTGTGGGGTGGGTCCCCCCGGCGGCAAGAAGTCCGGGCGGTCCCGGCGCCCGCGCTGTGCTCCCCTGGCGCGGACCCTCGGGCCTCCCCCCAGAAAACAAGCCGGCAGCTCCGGCGCGGGCCCGGCTGCGGCGGGGTGTCCCCGGTGGGCGGGGACGCTCACCAGAAGAACACTCTGGAGCAGAGGTTCGCGTGCTGCAGCGGGTTGGGCTTCACCTCGGCGTACACCGGCAGCATCCTGCCGGCCGGGGCGGCGCTGCTCCCCGGGGCGCGGGCGGGGATGCTGGAGCTCCGGCGGCCGCGCCGGTCCGCTAGACTGGAGCCCAGGAACCGCCCGCTTCCGGGAGCGGAGCGCCGGCGGCCCGCCCTGCGCCCGCCTCCCGGGCCGCGCCGCTACCGCCGGCGCCTGCAGCCCCGGCCGGAGACGAGAAGCGAGAGCCTCGCGGCGCGTGCGAGGCGACGGGGGCGCCCACGCAGGTGCGAGGCGAGGCCAGGGGCGTCGTTGGATGCGGGCGTGTAGGCTGCACACTCAGCACAGCGGGCGCGGCGCGTAGGCGCCCACCTGGTCTGAACTCGGAGCCCCGGCACCGACCGGGAGGTGGAAAGGGGAGGTGCCGGCTCTGCCGGGCCCTGCGCTCAGAAACGCCCCCTCGGCTGCGGCTTTCGGGAAAAGCTGCCAGACAGCTTCATCGGCCCGCCCTCCGGGCGCGCTGCCACATACATCGGGACCAGACAAGGGTGCTGTGGGAGGTTCTCCAACCTGCGGGCCGAACATCTGACCTGGACGACAGCAGGATTTAGTACAGATGATCTCTGTGTAGTTGCAAGACCTAAAGGAAGGTAACAAGATGAGAAGAACTCCAGTGATTTTGGAAGGTGAATGCTTGCTGTCATTGAGGCCATGCTTTTGGCGTCCTGGGGGTTGCGTTGTAGGGGAGACCTCTGTGAGCTTTCTGCTGCCCTCTTACATTGGGAAAGGGGAATATGACAAGAGAGCCTACCTTAAGATTTCTTTCATCATGCCGCAGTGGCAAACGGAACGTGTGTTACAGAACATCGGTTGTGCGCATTTCTTGGGGACCTTACCTCACTTTTAACTCTAACAAGGCCGGAGTCAAGAAGATATTATTATCCATATCTTACGGATGAGAAAGATGAGGCTCAAGGGCAGAACTTGCCCAAGGTCTTAGAGTCAGTAACTGATGAGACCCAGTTTGGACTCAAGTCCAAGTCCAGCATCGTCTGTCTCACTGGTGGATGGTATGGAAAGTGCCTAGAATATGTTGGTTGAATGAATGATTGTAGGACTTAATGTACAAAATCTTGAACTCCCACCCACAAGTATTCTGCTATTTGTGTGACCATCTTATCAGCCCAGCAGCTTCTCTTCCCTTCAGCCCCAAATGAAGAAAGACAAAAGGTTACATGTCCCGTGGTGCTTATAACAAGATTATTCTTTGATAATTTCCCATGTACCTTGGCTGAAATGGCTATCTTGCCTTTTGCCACAACACGGGTGGACCTAGAGGGGGTTATGCTAAGTGAAATAAGTCAGACGAAGACAAATACCGATGATCTCACTTACATTGAACTCTAAAAAAAGCAAGCAAGCAAAACAAAACAGAAACAGATTCACAGGCACAGAGAACAATCTTGTGGTTGCCAGAAGGGTGGGGGAAGAAGATACGCAAGAGAAGGAATTAGAAGATATGAACTGTCACTTATAAAATAAATAAGACATGGGAATGAAAAGTATAGCAAGACAACTATAGTTAATAATACTTAACAACTTTGAGATGGTAGCTAGGTTTATCAAGGTGATCACTCTATAATGTATAAAAAATGTCAAATCACTATGTTATACACCTGAAACTAATATAATATTGTATGTCAACTACATTTCAATAAAAAAATGACTTTCAGTTTCAGTTATACAAGATGAATAAGTAAGTACTGGCTAACTGGTGTGTACAGCAATGTGACTATAGTTGGCAGTATTGTATTGTGTACTTGAATTTGCTAAAAGAGTAAATCTTGGGTGTTCTCAACATAAAAAAGGGAAAATGATCAAGCTGTGAGGTGATGGAAATGCTGATTGGCTTGGTTGTGAATATTTCACAATATATATGCATATCAAGTCATCAGGTTGTACATCTTAAATATATACAATTTTTGATTGTCAAATATACCTAAGACTGAAGAAAAGGCTTAAAGAAAGCCTTGCTGTATTCACACCTTTTTTATAAGTCAAACATATAAGAATGGCAAATGTTGATAAATTTCAATTAATGGGTAATAGGGGGTTACTATACTACTTTCTTAATATTTCACATTTTTTAAAGAATTTCTATTTGAAAAATGAAGACAATTCTATCTGAATACTGTGAAAAGAATTTGATTATTCAATTACCTACCTTTCTGTGTTTGCTTTCTCAGATAATGCGATCTAGAAACTTAAATAATAGCCCTCACCTGATTTACAGTTCTTTTTGAAACTCCCTAAATTTTCCTGCCCTGTAAATGCTCAGCTACCAATTCTACTTCAAATATGAAGAAGTTTCTTGTTAGTTATAAATCTAGTGACTTCTCTTTTAGATAGCCTCAGACTACTCCTTACAAGGCTCTAGGTCATAATTAGCAGTCCCCAAACTACCAAAAAACACTCAGTCCCGTCAGCTTCTACTGAGTTTTTTTTTAACTAAGATCTTATAAAATCTTTTGAAACTTCTTAGCATCCTTTTCTGTACATTAACAAATACAGCATTTAGATGATTTACTCAGAAACATTGTAGAATTATAGAGAGAAGACTGGATTTAGATCCAGGAGACCAGAGTCTTAGACTTTTTGCCAATTACCTAAGCTTTCTGACTCATTTTTCTCAAATCTAAAATGGTAATCAGAATTCCCACTCTTCCTGCTTCCTAAGGGTTATTGTGAGCCTCACAACTTGGTAGTGCACTTTGTAAAACCTACAGCAACATACAAATAAAACAGGTTTCTTTTTCAATAAATGTTTACTTCATGCCTTCTAAGTAAATGAACACTAGACCCAGGCACAGATCTATCTGCATTTGTTTACTGATCTTAAATAGTTACATCTTAAATGTTGTAACTAAAAAGGCAGTAACAAATGTTGGAGAGGATGTGGAGAAACTGGAACCCTCATACATTACTGGTGGGAATATAAAATGTTACAGCCACAAAGTTACCATATGACCCAGCAATTCCACTCTTGGGTACTTATCCAGGATAATGAAAACATATGTCCACACAAAAACTTTAACATAAATGTCATAGAAGATCTATTCATAAAATCCAAAAAGATGGGACCATGTGTTCATTACTGATAAAGTAAGTGTAATATTACATACAATGGAACATTATTTGGCACATTATAGAAAGGAATGAAATACTGCTGTGTGCTGTAACCTGGATGAGCATTGAAAATATGCTGAGCTGAGTGAATGAAGCCAGTTGTTGACTAGTGAGAATGAAGACTTCTAAAGAGAGATTCAATCTTGTACTTGATGATTCATTCCCAAGTAAAATTTGGGGATACAGGATGCAAATTTGTATGTTTGGAAATTATAAATTACTAGTTGATCTACAGGATCCCTCTCAAATAGTCAAAGCATCAAGTGTTGTATCTGCAGTAGGTTTAAGAGCTAACAATGCAGGAGTAAAAGGGTTCAACTAAGACAGTGCCAATCCTCAAACATTTTTTCTATCAAGCCATATGGGACAAATGACATTCACAGTTCTACATATTCCAATGGGTATTCATAGCTGAGCATAATGGCTTCATCACGCCACCTTCTAATAATAGCCTGTACTTCCATAACCTCAGGGCACCTGACTCAAATCTAGCCAATCATAATATGCCATGATTGTCCAAAGGGATTGGCCCAGAGGTAAGCTTGTGGCCCAAGCAAGGCCAACTGGTTTCTTCCTTGAGAATTTTTGCTGGGGCTAGAAAGGGAAAATCACACTTTTCTTTCTGATTAGGGAGTTATAAGGATGTGATCTATAACATGGCTGGTAGCCATGTCTCCCATGTACATAGAGAGGCCTAAAAGAATAAAGTAGGTATCAACAGGAATGTCATACAGTGAACAACTATTTATTAAATACCTACTGTGTGCCAAGAACTGGCCTGGGACCTAGGGATACATAAGTGAACAAGCTGAGTAGTACAAAGGGGAGTCTTGGTGGCACTGAGTCTTTGGGGTCCCTGAAACTTCCACTCATATCCTCTGGGCTTCTCTCCGGGGCTAAGGTAGCTTGCTGCTTATCTGCAGCTCTCTGCTTAAGGACACTTGTCTGGTGACAGAAGCACATTGGGCCCATATACAGTCAGCCAAAACGCTGTAATCAACTGTCAACCAATGAAAGATGGGAGTTGGTAGATAAATGCCCCAGTCCCCTTGCCTGTCAGTTGAAGTAATTCAGTCTCCCAGTTGCCTAAGCAGTAACTTGCTTGCTAACACACCCCTTATTGACTTCCTTTCTCTGTCTCATTTCTCTACTCCCCACAAGTGTTTTCCTGCAATTACCTTCAAAATAAACTATAACTGACCCTTGAACAACTTGGGGGTTAGGGATACCAACCCCCCACCCCCTGAAAACAGTTGAAAGTCCAAATATAACTTTTGACTCCCCAAAAATTTAACTACTAATAACCTATTGTTGCCCCAAAGCCCTACTGATAACATAGTCGATTAGTACATATTTTATATAATCTGTATTATATAGTGTATTCTTACAGTATAGTAAGCTAGAAAAAAGAAAAGGTTTTTCAAAGTTGTTGCGATCCCCCCCAAACTTTCCAATATATTTATTGGAAAGATCTATACATAAGTGGACCCACATAGTTCAAACCCATGTTATTCTAGGGTTACTGAATTTCTGCTCAAATCCTTGTCTTAAGAGTCGGCTACTGTGAGACCCCAAACTAAGATACCTACTAGAAAGGTCTTTCCAATTACTGAAAAATACATTCATTGCCTTTGCACCCATAAAAGTCCTAACTAATAGCAGAAACCCTGGGCTGGCCAGTACAGTAGTACTAGCGGCATGAGGACCTGAGGACTTGAAGTGTGTATGGTCTGAACTGAGATGTGTGGTTAAGAGTAAAATAGCCAGTGGATTTCAAAGACAGTACAAAAAAATAATGTTCCATTAATGATTACACATCACACATTGATTACATACTGCAATGATAGTATTTTGGACACATTGATTTCAAACTCTCCTGCTAACATTAATTTCAGCTTCTCGTGTTCCTTTTTCCTTTTCAATATAGCTAAGACAAAATTTTAAATTATAGACACAACTCACTTTATATTTGTGTCATACTATAGTCAATGGGTAGTTTCCAAAAGGACAAATTTATTTCCCCCTCAAGGAAGCAAATGTATGAGGTTCTTAGTACTATACAAATAACTTTAATTGTGCTCTAAGTGAAAAGAAGTCATCCTCAGGTTTCAGAACATTATTAGTAATAATTCTGTGTCACTTCCCATTGGGCTTCAATCATATCTGTGTTAGGACCCTATTTTAGAAAGCCACTCACTGGTGTAAAAAATTAAGCAAAACTGCTCGCAAAGTCCATTTGAGTCATTACATTTTATTTGGTCAGCCCTTAAGATACGAACATAATATTGGAAGGCCAACTTATTTTCTTTTTGGTTCTT